TTTTTTTTTTTTTTTTTTTTTTTTTTCCGAAACGATAGATGATATTATAACCAAAAAGCACAAATGTGCAAAAGGAGCCCATAGCTGAATAAGACAGCTACCAACTAAAAACTGAGATGACAGGTCAGCAGACCGCCTAGAACCTCAACTAGCCAACCTAAGAATAAAAACTGACTCAAAACACTACAGACAACTAAACAAACTAAGATCGCTCCCCACAGGAGAATAGGATCGGCCCCCACAGGGTAATCAACACAGGGCCAACGGCTCAGACAAAAAAAACCAAACATAAAACACTCAGGCGAAGAGCCCAGACCAAAAAAACACTTCACTAAAACAGACTCAAGCAACAACAATAAAAACAAACAGGCCCTTCCCTAGCAATCGAAAGAGCTCGACCCGCAGCGAAACGATCGACACAAAAAGGTTCCAGATCCGAGCAGCGGCTACCGAAACTGCGAATTGCCTGCCTATACAGTAGAACCAACGGAACCCCAAACCAATCCAGAGTCGACCCGTCCACAACCAAGAGAGAGGCAACCGGCATTCACACCAGACTCACCCGAACTCGTCAAACACCATTAGCCGAGCTCGGGAGAACCATACCCCCTGCCACCTAACACCACTAGACGCACAAAGGATGTTGAGAATGACACGCCCCCTCAACTCCAACCGCTGCCACAAGCAGTCGCAGCACCGGAGTCCCAACCCACCCTTCAGAGCACGCACCGCCTCGGACCACCACGAAACTCCAGCGACCAGAAGCCAAACCCAACCAGAACGGCTAGGCTTCGCCGGGAAAATGCAGCCCAACGACCACAGACAAGAAGAGATGAGGGGTTTACCTCCCAAGTACAGCTCCCACCGGCAATAGATGAGAGAACTCGATTCGCCGGCCAGAAACCGACCAGAAGGATCGCCACCACCAACTTTATCCCCTTTTGCAACCATATGAGGGACCCCCGACCGCCGAGTTTCCTTGGCCAGAGCAAGGCACGCGGCATCAGGATAAGACCAAGTGGAGAAGAACGACCGCGGGTCTTGACATCTTCGTTACCGAGGAAGGTGGATCGAACGAGATTGAAGGAAGGTGAGGGCGGGTTTGGGGGAGGGTTTCAGATCGCCAATTTTTAAGTCTTAGAAAATTCAAGAAGTATATAAAAAAGCCCGTTGAAATATTTATTTAAACTAGCTTATTAGCTAGTTTTACCAAATACTTTTATCATATAGGTTAGCTTTTCACCTATAGGTATAAGCTATAAGCTCGAAAATTAATGATAAGCTATAAGCTAGCTTATCAGTTAATTTTACCAAACATAGTCTAAGCCAAGAAATTTTGCATTTCATTTTACTCTACATATAATATACTAATACGACATAAAATTTATTACAACTATAAAATTAAATTTAAAATTATTTAACAAAATAAATAAATTTATTGATGTATATTTTGCAAAAAATAATATTTAGAAATAAAAATTAATTCAAAATTTGAAATTTGAAAGAAATAGTTGTAGTCCGTGAATAGTATCACGCTACTGGCAATACTGTTTACATTAGGCATAATTGTTCGTTATGGAGCAGAATTGGAGAAGCACTAACACTGTGATATTTTTTTTTTCATATGATATTGTGTTAAATAATTCAAACACTTTGCATTCGTATATAGGTAAGGATAGATAGGATAGATCGCAGTAGGTATGACATTATAGCCACCGTGGGGTCTAGTGGTGCACTTACACATGTATGATGAAATAAATTCAACATTATCTATACATATAATTAATTAAATAAAACAATAAACATATAGTTATTTCATATTAAGACGTCCAATAATTCCATTATTCTAAGTATGATATTATCATCTCTACCTGCGCCTATATATACATTTATGTTCCATATCGTCCAACTGACGGAAAAAAAGGAGAGGGGAATATGACTGCAACGCCAGATATTTTCCTCCAAGATTGAAAAATTCGAAAACAGAAAACGACAAGTTATACACGAAAATCCCAAAAAGGGGGAAAAATTATCGCCCAATCCATGGATATCCAAACCACCGCCTCCTCCTCCGCCGCGAGGAGGGCCTTTCTGTTAATCAACGCCGTCATCCTCGGCATCGGCAACTGCGGCGGCCCCCTTATCATGCGCCTCTACTTCCTCCACGGCGGCAAGCGGATCTGGTTCTCCAGCTTTCTCGAGACCGCCGGCTGGCCGGTCATGCTCGCCCCCCTCGCCGCCTCCTACGCCCGCCGCCGCCGCGAGTCAGCCGCGGCGCCGCTGGTCCTCATGGGAGCGCGCGTGTTCCTCGCGGCGGCGGCGATTGGGATCCTGACCGGCCTCGACGACTACCTGTACGCGTGCGGCGTGGCGCGGCTGCCGGTTTCGACCTCGTCCCTCATCATCGCGGCGCAGCTGGCGTTCACGGCGGTGTTCGCGTTCTTCCTCGTTGGGCAGCGGTTCACGGCGTACTCGGTGAACTCGGTGGTGTTGCTGACGACGGGGGCGGCGGTGCTGGGGCTGCACGCGAGCGGCGACCGGCCGGCTGGGGAGACGGCGCGGGAGTACTGGATCGGGTTCGCGATGACGATGGGGGCGGCGCTGCTGTACGGGATGGTGCTGCCGCTGATCGAGCTGACGTACAAGAAGGCAAGGCAGGCGGTGACATTCACGCTCGCGCTCGAGATCCAGCTCGTCATGTGCTTTTTCGCCACCGCCTTTTGCACGGTGGGGATGGTTATCAACAACGATTTTCAGGTGAACAATTTTTCTTATTATTATTTGTTTAACGATTTACTATTATTGGGCTTCACACTTCCGTTTACACTTTTCAATGTCTCGAATTACATGCTTTTACTTATTAAATTCAAATCAGAAACAAAAATTTTATTCGCTCCAAATTCGCAATTCGATCAGTGTTGGATTAATTGTGAAAGAGAAAAAAGGAAAAACATCGGAAAATTTGGTGCCGGGGATTTTATGAGTGTTGGAACAATTAATACGCACCGAAGATTGGGCGGACAAAAGGATTAGATTCGTGGATGAGATTTTTCGAAGGGTGTGATTATTGAAATATACTGATTTTAAATCTCGAAATGTGTAACTATTAAGATAATGTCACAAGGACTCTGAAGTTATGTCATGCCACTTGTTTGTTGTGCAGAAGCGAGTCATGTTGAGTTGTTCCGTTTTTTATTTCAATCCACGTACTTT